GTATTCCCGTATACGCGTACGCGTACGGCGTTTTACTGGTAACGTAATATCTAGACCCAACTCCCTCACGTAGTCATTACCTGTAAGGTTTCCAGAGCTAAGAGCCGCACAAATGACTGTTTGTGGCTTATCCACCAAAGTGGAGTTATTATAGTCGTAAAGGTTGACGTTTTTTTGCCCCTAAAAGTTGTGGATAAACGCCGGCAGCCCTCCCCACCGCTAGCTACCCCTCACTGCAGCAGCTGATACCCCGACCAATAGCAGCGTGGAGCTTGCTGAGAAATTGACCAATAGCGGCGTGGCCGTCTTTCGTGGCCGTCCTACCATATTCTAGACCAAGCCATACCTCGGTGTGAACAGGAAGGAGGGCTCATACGTCACAGCCGGCTCAGCCTGTGATTGGTGGATATAAAAAGAATGACGCACCTTACATCGTATGGATGTATCCATAGCTAATATGGGTAGAAAGAACTTTTATTTCTTAAAGCTTTTTATAAAGAATGCAAACAATACAGCAATTCACTATTGTATAATACATATTTTTTATTTATATAATTATGAGTATATTGGTTTTTAGACTATTATCCTTATTTAATTCTATTATAACATCTACAATTTTGGGCATCCCTGTTTAGAATGCACCAGTCCGTATGTCTGGCTTAGCGTAACCTGGAACTGAACTCCATGGCGTGATGCACTGTGGGTAACATCAGCAGACGAAACATGGCGGCTCTACAAACTTTGGCGAGGGTAAGTTCGACTTGGTGGTCTTTTTCTCAATGAATACCCAATGTTTCGTGACCGGCTGATGTCTGTGAAACACAACAATGACCTGCTTCTATTTTTCATCCCACTAGCGGTGCTCAACATCGATGTTGAAGCGCCATTTCAGCGTGTCATCACCAGTGGCCGCTCAGGTGGGAGGCGACCTTGTCTCGTACTTTTGTAGCTATAGTGATCAGCAGAACAAGAATGATGATCTCTAAATTCAATTTTGTGTATTGCTGGAAAACACTGTCACCACGCCTACCATTGCAAACAGTTTTGAATGACATAGTAAAATTAATAGTACATACTAGGTGCAGCTAATGTCACATTTAAACTAGTCACATGTGACATTGTTCA